TCTATTGTGAGTTTGCCCTGTTCTTTGGACACTTTTTGATGGACTTTTTGCCGGAGGTCTTGGGATAAGTCAGACCCATATCGAAAGTGTCAGCAGGAGTCGCAACTGGTTTTCGCTAACCTCCGACAAGTAGATTGTGTTGTCAGGTTGCAAAACGTTGGTGGAGCTCCTCCAGGCAAGTGTTTTCAATCAATTTAAGTTTTTGGACCAAGTCTAGGACTAGCAGCTTAACATGATTTTGTGCTTTCAGCAGGATGGTTAAGTTAAGTTACAAACTTTCACAGTTACTACTTCTATTTGCAAGGGGAATGTCTTAAGATACTAGTAACTTGGTTAAGAGAAATTTATACAAATCAAGATCTTAGCAAAGACAAACCAATTAACTTCCAAAACTGATTTAAGTTATTAACTAAAATTCATTTAATTTAGTTTTTGCCTTTGGTAGCTTATCAAAAATCCTCTCTAAGTGCAGCAAGTTAAGCTTGGCTTGGAACTGAAACTGAAACTAAAAACCTTTGACCATGTTTAAACTGTCAAAAGTCCGAGCTAAGAGCCAAACTGAGATTAGAAAAAACAGCCAGTTCAGAGACGTTAAGCACACAGATTCAGATTCCCAGTGAAAGCTATCAGGTTTGGGTGTTCTTTTTTATTTTTTCGTGTAATCCCAGGGTTTCCGTGCAATTAGAAGGTGACCCCTCAACTTTGGCCAGCCTGTGGCATCCTTTCTATAGTTTTTTTTTTTTTCTTTCCATCTTCATATTTTTCCATATTTTCCACTCAGTTTTCGTACCTGCAACACAAAAAAAAAAAAATGTACTAACAGAGCTTTTGACGAATGCAACGAGGTCGTTGTTGTTGAGGTGAGTTCTTCGGTGGGGTGGGAGTGGCGAGTGCGAAGTGGAAATTCAGGGGGCATAATGTTTTGTGTGGGACTCCTGGGCACAGGATTAAACCGGGCCAAGTTAACGATTTTCTTGTTTTGTGCCCTCCTGCAAATGAAATTTATGTAGAGGGTCCTGCTCCTGTTCCGGCACAGCAAAAAAAAACAAAAACGAAAAGAACTCAGCACTCTCTGCCTCTGATTTTGAGTTGTGCAATAAATTTTTATCTGTACATGCGAACGCCGGTGACTGCTGGTTAGCCGACAGGAGCTGTGGACGTGAATGCGAATCCTGCGGATTGAAGGGTTCCCATTGCCCGTTGGCCATTAAACAACGCTGTCAGGTCTCAATGGCCGGCCTGAACCAGCCTGAAAACCTGAAAACCAGCAAAAAACCTGAAACCACCCGGCCATTACACAATAGAATTCTCCTGTCTGTGTCGCTCCAACTTATTTGTATTGCCTTCGTTGCCTCAGTGTTGCCGTTGGCACTTTTGGATACTAAAGGAGGGAAAAAAGGTTAACTACAAGGAAGAAAGGCAATAGCCAGAGGGAAATTGGTAGAGGTTTTAGGAAATAGAGACTCTAGGCAAGTAATATTATTTAAATGTTCTTTAGAAGTTTTTATTTCTTTTCATTTTGTATATTTTTTAGATACTTTTCAGATATAATAATACGAAATGAGTAATATTTAATGATTAGATAAGTTTCTTACTTCTTTAATGTGGCAATTATTTTCTAGCCTCATCTCTAGTTCAATCTCTAAGAGTGATGGCTGCATAAAAGTGCACAAATTTAAAATGCCAACATCTTGCAGACGTAACCTACTAGCCATCTAGAGTTAATAAAGCCAACAAAAGGCACTTAATTACGGAATAACAAGCATTTCCACTTCAATGGATGTCTGGAAAAGTAAAGGGGTTTTGCAACAATTGATGGAATAAAAGTCGAAACGACATCACTACTCGATTGTGGTTGAAGGTACTATGCTCCTGTGCTCCTGTGCCTGTGGTCCTTTTGGCTTTATTGTTATTGGCCAAGCTGTGTGTTGCGGGCCATGTTTTAGCGCTGAGTGCTGAATGACATCTGGGTCACCTGGGGCTAACCAACCTGCATATACATATATATAAACTATATATATATATATACTAACGTATTTCATGCCCATTCGTTGCCGAGGTTCGTCCTTTTGACCATCGATGAGGACATTCACACTCGCCCATCGGTGCATGGTGAATAGGGTTTAAGTTGGTGTACAGTGCGTTCAATGGTTGTAAGGCGATTGTTTGGCTTAATGCCATCCATGTTGTGGGCTTATTGAGAGGGTCTTAGGGCTTGGGGGGGGGGGGTGTGTTGTTACAAGGTAACTCCCACCTTGGATTACAGTGATTTGTTGTGCTAAGCAATCAAATTTGATTGGCCATTGAACAGGAGAAAACTAAATTATCAATTTAAGTAGGTAAGCTCTGTAGCTTGGCCCCTTTATTGAAAAGTTATGGGATAAAGGAAAGTTATTGATTTATTTAGTTACATAAGCATCGAGGATGGTTGTTATAAATGGTGATTAAGTGATTATTTACATAACGTGAAGAGACTTCAGTTAGTTCGGAACTCGAGTAGTGAGTGACCTAAGTTAGCTTCTTAGTTAAGATTTATGTACAGCAAGAAAAATAACTTTCCTATCATTTTTTTGTGGTTTTTCTACTGCATAATAAGACTTCTGTTTACGTAAATTGAGAGCTTTGTTAGTTAATAATCAATCGCATTAATAAACTATCTCATAAGCTGATGAAATCAGTGTTTAATTTACAAAAAAAAAATATATATTTATGAGGCGATTATCGCTGGGGTAAAATTCAAAAATGAATTACACAGCTGAGCCGCACTGTACGTGCCCTGCCTGTGTGCGATAAAGCAATCGTTTTAATGGTGCGATTAAAATTTCATCAGTTCTACTCATCGAACGAAATCGAATTAAAGCTCGCCGCCGCATCGAAAGACAAGATGTTTATCAATTATTCCACAGATTCATCTACGAATGACTTTTAGCTGGCTGATTTTCCAGACTTATTGGTTTTCTCTCTATATCTCACACTCTCTTTAATTTGTATTTGGACCAGAGTGACTGACTGACAAATCAATCAATATGGGGAAAAACTTATGATATTTATAGAATATCCCCCCCTATCAAGGGTGGCTCATAAACAATTGGATTTGGATTTGCGGCCCCAAAAAAAATGCGATTGCATTTGCCGTTGTCTAGAGAGAAAATGAAAATTTTTGTTAACCCAATTTGAAGCAAGAAAACCCCCTGTACTTTCCCTTTGAATCTTCAGGCATATTTTTGGTAGCCACTGGCGTTGGTAATGGGGTTAAACTTTAAAAGTTTTGAATATTGAAAATGATTTCTTTAGCTTTTCTTTTATTTTTTGATCTTTTCCAAAATAATCCATGAAAAGTTGTTTCTTTTCTTTAAGTTAACCCTCTCTTAAGATAGGCAAACTCTCATACCCTGTTGATTAACTCCTTCCTACGCCACTGTCATCATTCGTATCTGTATCTATGGCATTCTGCCTGGCACGGACTCCTCTGATATGGTCGCCCCGTAGACCCCAACTATTATTAGCGGCACGCTCGACATGCAAACGTATAATGGATTCATATATATATCTATATATATATATATATATATGGTATGTGCATGCACATGTAGGGCATAGCCATACAATGTCGGGGATATATAGGACCATGCCAGCCAGTCATCCAGCAGAATTCATTGCTCTGCAGGTGTTCAAATTTTCACATTTTTCTTTCAGCTCCCCGAAATGTCCTTTTTGTCCTAACCAAGCAATGGTTGCCCAAAAAAAAACTGCACTGCAAGAAAGTTTAGATGGTTTTTTAAATATTAAAAAAAAATATTTTTAAGTTTTTATAGTTAAAAGTTTGAAAAAAAAGAGCTAATGGGAGATATTTTTGTATTATTTTAGAACTTCTTGTAGGACATTTTTAGTACTTTTGTACTTTATTTAATTTATATAACTTTTTAATTCATTATTTCATTTATAATTTTTCTTCTTCTGTACTTTTTCTTTTAACCTACCAACCTCTGCATAACTGGGCATGCATAATTTACAACACTCGTTCGTATTTATGGCTGAATTATTGATTTTCATTTGTAACATTTTTGAGATTTGTTTTAAATTTTTCGTTCGTTTGGTTTTCATTCGTGTGTTCTGTTTTTTTTTTACGGTTTTTCTTGGCCCTTTGCTGTTCATTTTTCATATAGGTGACTTGCGGTCAACGAGCTTTCCCGCATTTCCCGGCTCATGTGTGTGTGTGTGAGTGTGCGCGCGCTGGCTTTGAAGCTTTTGTGGCTTATCAGTTCTTTGTCAACGAGGTCCAACTTCTGGCAAATAGTTTTCCCGGAAAGCTCGGCCACAGCTTTCGAACCCGTCTTTCATTTCGTTTTCCATTTTCTTTATGGGTTCTTAAGTCGCTCCTTTGTCTTTTTGGTGTGTTTTTTTTCCCCTTGCACTTTCACTTTACTAGCCTCGATTTCTTACCAACTTTATGACTTGTGATGCTTCTTTTTAGCATGGCTTTAAGTTTGCTTCGAAATAAGTTGATTATTGAAGTGCCAGAAGAGTTTTCTTTTCTTTCAGTCTTTATGAATTTAACACTCATACGCAGTGTTGGCCATATTATTCATACGCACTGTTGCCTTTTGCTAAGCCACTTGCCATAAATTGTTAATGAGGTTTCAAGTTTTCAATGCTAATGAAAATAACTAAAATGCTAATGAAAAACTAACCAAAAGCAAATGCAAACTAAAGCCAATATTAAATTTTTGATAAGCCTTGTTTTTAGTTTTTGCCAGTCAAATATGAATGCTTTGTTTTATATTAATTGATGATTATATATACATGATATATGAATGTGTATTGAAGTAACAATAGTTCAAGGTAAACACTATGTTATTGCTTTGATCACTATGAGAGTCCAATCATAGTTTGCCATGAATTTTTTGCTAGCATTTGACTTAAATTTGTATTTAAAAAAAGGAAAAGAAAGAAAGAAACCTTTCGATTAACTAATTTTTTTCCAATTTCCAATATTACAGATGTCAATTCAGAAGCTAAACGACACCACCAATTCGGGCTATGTGAGTTCCGAGGAGACAGACTCACTCCTAGTTAGCAGTTCGAATCCATCGAAAGGTGGCGGTCGGACGGCATTGCTACGTCAGGTGAAAAGTAGCTCTACAAATGGCCCAACGACGGGGGCATCGACCTCATCATCGGGATCGGTATCGGGCGGAGGATCCGGTTCCGGTGGTGGATCAGCATCTGGGTCCAATTCCGCAGCAGGAGGAGCTGGGGCTTCCAAGCCAACATTAATGCGCCAGGATCGCACTTCCACCTATCTAACGAGTCCGCAACAATCTCAGCATGTCAGAATGGGTTCTGAGGAGAGTATGAGAGGTGGCAGTGGTGGTGCCACCGGGCATGATGAGGATGTGGAACAGGGTCTAGTTCGAAGTAGCATAGTGCCTGATATTGAAGTACATGAAGAGGACCAAGAACAACAACAACAACAACAACAACACAGCCAGATGGCGATGACGACGACGACGGCGACGACCAATAACCAACAGCAACAGCAACCGACCATATCAATTATGAATTTAAGCCTAAAGCCTGGCGATAGCCATAGCCATAGCTCCAGTCCGGGTAGTCATCCAAATTTGGGTACATCATCATATCAAAATCTGGCATCGAGCATACCGCCCAGCGTACCAAGTCGCTGTAGGGCGTGCCGCAATTGCAGCCGACGTGCTTCCACCACGCCCACCACGCTGATCGATCGTTCCGCCTCTCGCGACAGTGTGAAAAGTGCCTTCCAGCAGGGCAATCTCAGTAGCTCCATGGCCATATGCATATCGAATTCGGCCCTGCCGCAACAACAGCAACAATATCATCTGCAACAGCAGCAACACTATCAATTGCAACAGCAACATTTACAACAACAACATATGCAGCAGCAGCAGCAGCAACAGCAACAGCAAGTACCGCCCGTTTTGATAACTTCATCGCCAACGAATGGATCAAGGATAATACGGCAAAGTTCACAGCCGGAATCGAGTAGTACGGCAATATGTTGTGGTCCGCATACCGCTTGCGTCGGCCACGCTCACTCGCATTCGCATACAGTACCGAATGTCTCGCTAAAGCAATTGCGCGAAAGTTCCGGCGATGGAATCGCGGGCATTGCAGCCGACTCCCTGCGGATCAATGGGGGTATGCGGCCCTTCAAGCAGGTGAGAACACGTTGGTAAACCCAACAGTCTATAAAAAATGGAAAATCCCCATTTCCCTGACCACCACTCTTTTTTCATTCCTTTTTTTTATGTTTGAAAAGGAGACAAACTTAGCCATTAACACTCGGAAAAAAAACAGAAAAATCACGCCATTGATTTGGTTTTAATATAAGTTGCAGACATACATGGAAATAGTTGATCAAATTTGTGATGTTATTGATTAAAATCCAATTTAGAATGTGTTAATTTTTGCCTTAAAAAGATGGTCTTGTGTGAAGTCTTTACAGAGTTGGTCACTCTAAAAGTTAAAATTGTAATTTTCTTAGATACAAATTTGTAAATCCATAATTTTTCAGCTTCAGTTTGATTCACTCCATAAAATTCAGCTTAATTAAATCCATGTTGATTTTCCAATTAAAAAAAAGGGCGCTGCTTTTTTTTCGAGTGCCCCAAAATGCCCCATGACCTGACCCCACCCCCCTTGTACATAATTCATGTACATAAGCCATCTGCAATCGCCCAGCTCATAAATGTCCGAGTGGACGCCACCCAAGAGTACCCTTAGCGCTCGATGTTTACACAGACCTCTATGTAACGTATATATATTTATATAAAATATATATATATAGTATATAGTATATAAACTCAGCATAAACCTTCTCTAAACATAAGTATATACCAGTAAATTGGATGTTATTTAGCCACTATCGCACTCGATGTTCTGTGTTCATAAAAACAATTACCAGATCCTTCATTCTATGATTAGGGATAGGGCATATACGAGTTTAGTAAGGCCAGGTGGTGGAAGAAGTAAACTTATTTTGTAGAAAGGCAGGTTTTATAGTTAAGGAATGAGTTTAAGAAGTTTTTTAGATTAAAGTAAATTAAACTTGATTAAAGTTGTAAAGCTTGTTGAGGCTAAAATTGTCAAAAAAAAGTAAAAAATTGATATTTCAAAGTGACCAGATTTGTGTAGAGTACTAATAGAGTGACCAAAATAACTAGATAAGCAATAGCCAAAGTCTCACACTTCATAGTTATGATTGATGAGGTCTTAATGGTCAGTCAGAAAAATTCTACACACACATTCAATGCCACTACTTAGGGCAACTTATCGAAAACTTCCCTGTACTTTAGTGTTATTTCCTAGATGTTATATAGATCCCATTACCTATCAGAATCACTGCCCATAACTCATCTCCATAAACACACATGAAGATGTTTTTTATGCTCAGTTTGGATTTCTTTATTTATGCCATTTCGATTTTTTTTTTCTAATAATCATAAAATGCTGGCAATTTGTGATTTGCTTACTTTCTTGTTGTTGTTGTTGTTGTTGTTTTTGTTATTCTTTTCGGTTTGTTTTCGTTGAATTTATTTCTTCTCTCTCTCTCTCTTTCTTGTCGAGCATTTAACGTTTTTCGCGCGCTAAAATCCAATTAGTGAAAATCAATATTGCTCATACGCGGCGTTGGCTCAACAATTATTTTGTTCATTTTTCCCGCTTGGCCACCTACAGCCCCCCTATAATATATATATATATTTTTTTTTTATTTTGCTTTCGCATTACTTTCAGTGGGCATAATTAAAAAATTTTGTTTACACGCCATTTGATTGAAGGGGAAAAAATAGGGGGGAGAGAATGAAAATGTGGGTCTTAGTAGGTGGGCTTGCCTAAGAGCATTTACCATTTGGAACGTTTAATGGAAGGAAATCCAAGAAACGCAATTAAGACATCTCATTCCTGCAGTCGGCAAATGAATTATTCATCTGGCAATTGAATTGTTAAGTGCTACGAAAAAGTAAAATACCATTCTTAGTCACTCTATCTATATATCTTTCATCTCTCTTCTTTTATAATTAATATCAATTTACGCCAACGTGTCTGAACTTTTGCCCGTCCATAAATATCTGAAATAAAAAAAGTAGAACAAGAAATAAATATAAGAGGGGAGAAAAAAATGATATCGCTTGTTCCTTCATGCTGGCAGTGACCTTACCATGATTGATGAATGTTTTCACTCTTTGACATTTGCCGTCGCGTTTTCCTATTTTCTCAACCCACGACCGCGCCTCCCTATTTCCTTTTTTTTATACATTTTTTTGTATTCTTTTTTTGTATTTTTTGTTTTTTTTTCTCCAGTCTTTATAGATAATTGCGTTGGGTTCGCTGTCAGACACTTTCGGCAATAGTCAGGGGGATAAGAAGTCGTCGTCGTCGTCGTAGTCGTCCACAAGGAGAAATAGAATGGGGACGGTAAAACATTTATGGAAGCTTCAGGGCAGCGAGAAAGAGCTTTTGTCTGTTAAAAAAAAAACTACCGGTAAAGATAGGAGAAGAAGAAGAAGTAATGGTAAATGAGCGTTCAGAAAAAGGGGATTCCCAGCTACATTTAAAGGCTTCCCCCGAAAAAAGCTTTCAAGCCACATTTAACACGAATAAAAAAGACAACAAACAATTTGTATATGCAATTCCCATGGCGGACTAGACTATACTTAACCCCCTCGCTTTTCGTATAAAAAGCTTTTCGCTGTAGAAAGCTTTTGCGCTTCTCATGGGGTTAAGTGGTGGAGAAAGCTTTAAACGTATTTCAAGTTTTCAATTGTCTTTGGTTTTCCGCTTTTCCACTTTTTCGTTGACCCCCCCGATACTTCTTGTTTTTATTGTTTTAAAAGCTCTCTATTTAATTATGCAACATGCAATGAACTTTTCATCCATTCCTTCGCTTTCATATAAACTTGCCAGTCCCAAAGGATCACCAACACGTGTCGAGGCATGACCCGTCATTACTTATCGAGCAGCCATACTATATGTTACTCTCTGCTTTCTTATACTTTTCTAGTAACTCAGAATAGTTTTTTTAACAGGATCAGATCAGTTAGTTAATCCGGCATTATTTTTCTTACCTATCTAATATCTCATTAACCTATTCCTACCATATGTATGATATCTTTTGTAAACGAATAACCTTTAGTGAGTAATACTTACGCTTAAGTTGCTAACATTAATATCTCTGTAGTGTCGACTGTATTCCTTAAATAATCTATATATATATATATATATTATCTTTGACTATATTTGTGGACAGTGCGTTTGTTAAGGACAAGAAAAGGTTTTAACCTGTTTGCTTTTATTAATGAAATATAAATTATTAAAAATCTTAAAATCAATTTTAAAGAAATGCTGTTAAGTAACCTTAAACTGTCACTTTCGTAACGCACTGTTCTTGTAGGATTCTATGCAGATCTATAACTGATTTCTAGGTATTTCAATCGCTTTCATCCAGAACCAGTTCCAGTTCCAGTTCCAGTTCCAGCTCCTTTTTTTTTTTTTTCTAGAAACCAATTGGAAAGCAATCCCTCCCCAAAAGTAGCTTAGCTTAGTTAACTAACTAAGATAACTTAAACAATCTGTACTAATCGCTGTCGCATCAACTCTCGCAATCTCTTCAGGGCGTTCTTCTAATGCCTCGCACCTTGTCCGAAAGCCGAAAATTGCGCCTTCGAAGGGCCTTCACCGAGGCCACTAACGAAACGCTTCAATGCTCCAAAATGGTATTTAAAAAAAAACTCAAAAAAAAATTAATGCAAAATTATAAAAAAAAAATCTTAAAAACATAAAAACCGAAAACCCATTTGCCAAAATTAACAATTTTGTTTTATGTGTATATAAAAATATTTTTAGAATGAATCAAAAAGTAGTTCCAAAGTTCCAAAAAAAAAAACCAAAAACAAACCCAAAAGTTGATTTTTCAATGGCACCGCAATGACCTTTCCGCCTCCCAGCGGTCAAGTAGCTTGTTATCGATAACATAATGCATTATGCTGCAAAATGCTAAATGCCCCTGTGCCCCAATCGGTTTGGCATTCGTTTGGCATTCGTTTCTTCCTAGTTTGCACTGCCTCAATGTCCATATTCAAACTCCCTTAGAAAATTTCACAAAAAAAAAAAAAGAGAAAAATCCGTTTTAAAACCGTTTTGGCCGCTTGTAGCTCAAGTTGAAATTTCCGCATCCCATACTCTCGCATCCACTTCCAAATCCGCTTCAGCATCCCGTATGCCTCTGCATCCGTTAGTAAATCCCGTAGATCCCTTAGTTAATATATCACCCCTCTTAAACTTAGTTAAAATATTTAAATAAATCGTTGATTTATATCAGCAGGTAAGATGTAGTTGATATTCGTTTCGATTTCTTATGCACCGATTGTTGTTGTTATGTTGTGATGAAACCAAAATGCACCGATTAATAATCGATATATTGATGAGAATATGTTATGAAATCTTTTGGGGATTATCTATAGGAAAATGATATATATATTATATACCTAATCCAAGATATATTTTTATATACGAATGAAGAGTTATTTTTTTTATAAACCAATCTTAGGGTATTATATAGTCTAGCATTTGTATGGTTTGAGGGAGAGCAATTAAGAGCCAAGCGGAAGCATTTAATTTTTCCTATCGGTAAAATCGGCAACAATTTTTATTTCCATGACGTCGTCATAGCGATCAGGTGTTACCCCTCCCTCCCCCCTCTCTCTTTGCCAATTCTTCGGGTTTTCCATCTAGGCGGATATCTCTCTCAACGCTCTCGAAAATAGTTTCTCTCATCTGGGCCATCCACCTGCTGCTTTTTGTCCACTTGGATTCCACCTTCCGATTGCAATCCGTTCCACACGATCCAAGCAAGAAGAAGTTGTGTTCTTTATAATGGGTATTATTGGTATTAGTAGGGTATGTCTAGGAAGTGTACATTTTGGATATAGAAGAAGTTGAATTCGTTTTGAGAGATTTCAAGATCTTTATCTTATCTTTGACATTTCTTTGTATCATTCGATCAAGACTTAATGATTTTATATCAAAGTAAGAATCATCTTAAAGTCGATACTCAAGTTGGGGAACCTAAATGCTCTTCTTGGTTCCGCTATATTGGCGGAACCAAATAGAAACAAAAAAAAGAAAAACACGAAAGGCAGAAGGAGCGCACCACCAGATTGGAATATAAATAAAACATTTTGGTGGGCAGACCATTTGTGCGGCGTCGTCGGTAGGGATCGCTCTCGAACTCGATCTCGATGTCGATCTCAATTTTGATTTTTTTCGATTTGGCTCTCCTCTGTCGCTCATTTTCCAGATCGGTTGCGGATCGTATCGGATCGGATCGGTCAATAATGTGAACGTGAACGGCTTGTGGAAATGCTGAATTGTGTCTGCTTCCCCGAATCTGTTTACATTCTGGACAATTACGCAGTCGAAAGTCGAAATACGGCTGCTGTTCCGAAATAATACAAAAATTTCAATTTAAATTAAATCAAAACCCATCGGTTTTTCATCGGTTGCGGTTCATTTTCATTTGGGTTTTTCGTTGTGAAGGAAGTCCTTGTTCTTATTTTTCGCTTTTTTTTTTCCAAGTGCGTGTGTTTGTGGTTGACAATGTTCCTTTGAGTGCAAAATTTGTGAGATTTATGTGTGTTACCAGGAAGAAGAAAACGTATATAAATCATTGTTTAAACAATGCGGTTATAACCTGTAAACCGGCAACATCTGAGAATTGCTTAATCAAATAAACAATGTACTTGTTTCCTTGAAAATCTTTTAATAATAATTAAAAGCAAAATGTTTGTATGTACTTGTAATTTTCTCGAAAACAAAAACATTTGCTTTCCATTAACCAAACAAAAACACTGAAATAGCAAAAAGGAAAACGGTTCTGAAAAAAGCCTTTCAGTTAGGGGATTTCTTTTTTTTGGTTTTCTTAAAAAAGATTCCAAGTTTGATTCTTTGAAAGTAATCTTAATATCTAAAGACTATCCACCCTTAAAACTTTGTGATCGAACTCTGATGATCCGTTTAACTGAAAGAATATTACCAAATGTAAAACTGCCAACAACGAGAAGGTGATAATTTTTGGATCCTTACAAAGAATATATTTTGCGAGTGCCGAAAGAAGTTTTTGGATCTTGAAGCAGAGCAGAGCATGTCGCCGGCCTTCTGCATGGATAACGATTGCAATCAGGGCGCTATTTACCAGAAATGCCATGCCACGCCTCCACCGTCACGTCCCTTGTCAATGCCCACGACACCGGTGGTCGTGTCGACGTCATCAACCCCATCAGTCTCACCATCCGTTACGCCCTCACCCACCCCATCGCGGTCGCCGTCGCTGACGCTGATGATGACGACGACATCGTCGTCGTTACAGCCGCCCATGCCGCCGCAGCAGATGCCGCAAATGTCGCAACCGTCGCTGAACGCGGCAACCGCTTTGATGACGCGAACGGGCAGTGTCGGTGGCGCCACCAGTGCCGCCCGCAGGAACTCCCTTTGGCTGGAAACGCTTCGTAATACACGCAAGCTGTCCTACGCCAACGAGCGGCCCATTCTGGTAAGGCTATACATTTAAAGAAAATTTTAGGGCGGGGGTTTCTAATAGTAAACATTGAAAGCAAATTGAGATTGTTTTTAATAGTTCAAATTCATTAGAGAAAATATGCTGGGGAATACGTGTTGTATGATTAATATTTTATTGACTGTGAAATTGCAAATAAATACGTATACGACAGGTTGGCCAAATGTTTGCTAAACAAACAAATGACTTGCTTTCACAGATACCAGATATAAAAAATAAAAGTATAAATTTAAAACTTTATTGCATTTTTATGACCGAATCCGATTTAATTAAGGTGTTTAAAGAGCATTTTCCCTCAGTGTTGGGTAGAAACTATGACGTATCTAGCTTATCTTCTGGCTATTTGTAGTCCCATTTCCATTCGCCATTTCGTCGGCGGCGGCTTCCACGTGTCCATTTCGCTTCTGAGTCTGAAACTATAAAAATAAATAAATCGCCCGCGTTTCCACTCGCTCTTTTTCTCTCTCTCTCTCTATATATCTTTATATCTTTATGTTACCATCTCTCTTTACCATTAGCTAGTACGGTCTCTTTCTAGTGTCTCTGAACAATTCGAAGTTATTTTCAAACCAAAGCATCTGCAGAACAAAAACAAAAACAAAAACAAAAACAAATCGCAGACACACGATGGAGCTCTTGGGAAAAAAGGTTTGGGCAACGAAACTTTTCTACCCTGCAAAAAGATGCGGCGAAAGTTTTCAATGAATTTTCAGCTGAATTGCAAAATGTCAGTGGTTTTTCCCAAAGAAAAGCAAAATTTTGCAATAGAAAATATAGCCATTGGGAATATATAATATATGGTATATAAAGTTGATATAAGGAATGCAAGAATGGAAGGCAGCATTTCGAAGAAACTAAAAAGGGGGGGGTTTTAAAGGCTTTTTGCATATTTAAAGAGGAAAACGTTTTATGAATTCAAAATTTCCCTTTTAGAAATGTTTTTAGAACTAGCAAAACTGCATTTTAAGTACAGAAAAAGTCTGTAAATATTTATGAAACAATATTAATGAGTTTCCAACGATATGTCCAATGTATACAATAAACTAAATATAGAATCGACATTTTCGATACTGTGTAATGCCATAAAGAGTGAGCTATTGAAGGCACCCTTATGGCAAAGATAATGGCAGGATATTAATTTGAAGAGTGGTGGGGGCTATGAGAGCAATAACACAAAACAAATGTGGGAAAAAAGGCGCATCAACAAAGGCAACACACATATAAAGGAGGAGGGGTGGATCCGGAAAAAGGGGAAAACAGCCATCTATTTGGCTATTCCATCATCATCATCATCATCATCACCAGTCGAAACAGAAGAAGAAAAAAAAACGCCCATAAAGACATAAAGTTCGCTCAAGTGTTGGGATCGTATCGCGCGATTCGTGAATCTCTGTATCTATCTCTTTGATATATTGTTTACAAGACAAGCGATTTCGATTTCGATTTGGATAACGATCTAGCCTCATCAGTATCGTTAGCTCTATATAATGTGAGAATCGCATTAAAAGAGAATTCAGGGTCACAGAGATTCGGGTTGAAGACAGTCCATAAATAAGGTTACTACTTGGGTTACATTTTGGCCAATGTAGATTATATAGTATAATGTTGATGTTTTTGTTTTTGTTTTTTTTGTTTTTTTTTGATATACTGCCTTGTCGATTGAACGGGCAATTCTGGCGCAGTTTAAACAATGCCAATCGCCACGTAATTAATGGCATATGAGCAATGAAAGAACAAACCCTTGGGGTAAAAACCCGGGCCTCAGATCGTGGACATGAATTATTGATCAATGTGTGTGTGTACACGCTGGCTATATATCCTATATATACTATATCCATCCATCCATCCATCCATCCATCCATCCACTTAAACACTATGTAAATGGGCGGGAAGAACACATGCGTGCATATTTAGATGTTGATAAATATTATATATATGCACTCCCAATGGGTATTACGGGGTGTCATCTAAAATATTTAAGGCATTTGCCTTTGCGACTTTCGACTTGACGTCCATATGTCTGCATTTCGAGGACTTTCAATCGACCAAGCGACCAATCGACAACCAAGAGTTAACTTTTCTTTTTTTTTTTTTTTGTATATATACTCGTTACTAGAGTAGCCACTGGCTTGGGGTGCTTAC